AGCAGTTACAAAACAAGTTTCTCCTCACCATTAGAAATTTTCCAGGGTGCACATCAGTCCGCGATTTGCACACTGCTTTCAACCTTCCGTATGTGTAACATTATATACCAAAACTGTGAAGGCAAGAAACCGAAGTTATGCTAAATCATGAGAGGAACATGTTCGCAGCAAAGGGCAAGGCGAAGCTAGACACAGAAAATATAAGACGCTTAAACTAGGCGGCGCTCAAGCTTACGACCGTTCAAGTGACTAAGCTGCCGTTGCAGCATAACGTAAGTAAGATAGACATGATCTCCTTTGTATAACCTGGACTGATAATGGACTTATCTATAGTGCAGAAGGAATAATTTTCAATAACCTGCTCTTTGTGATATATACACTTGACAAAGGCGAAGCCTATTCATGAGAAACAAACCAATCCACTGTAAGAGAGAATGTTGCCTAAGTACTATGACTGCAGAGGTTCAGTTGTGAAAAAAAAAATGTGGTGTGAGCCTCAAGGAATTTGGTTCAAAGTTGAAGTAACTGACAGTAAACTGCCAGTCTTAAAATAACTCTGACTCTGACTCACTCTGAGTTAATCGAGCTAAACATAACGGATATAACAGATAGAGGCATTCTGTGCTATAGTGGTTTGTTATGTGTGTACATTAGTGGTAGCGTTATAATTATTCGTGTTTGTAGTTACGAGTTTTAAGCCTTCAAATAATCCAATTATCAATCCAAACTACGTGACTAGTCACTAAATCGTTACAGTATCTTTATCTCCTTCACCTTTTCTCTTGTATTCCTTTAATTTCTCTTTCACTTACACGTCTTATCTTTGTCCCTGTCCCTCTATACTAGCAACAACAGCGGGCAGTTTACCTTTCTCCTTATACTAGTATCGGCTTGTAGTACGTTTCTCATCTGTGAAAGAAACTTGCTATTATTTACATGAAGTCTTTCATTTGTTCTGTTTTTAATAAGAAGAAGCATACTTTTTACTCCACTCGTTTCGCTTTTCAGTCTAGCTCCTAGTGTTTGAAGATGGCTAAGTTCCGATTGTTTTGGATTGTTCAACGTTAAACAGAGAATACTGAAAAATCTGTCTGATAAGCATTCCACTGTCAAACCTACTTTTAGGGAGAGGAATTTTAAACAAACAGACGAGAGGGGTATACAATTTTGAAAGCTTCACGTGTTTAACAATTTCTGGCATTTCTAAGTACACGGTCTAATGAAATATTGTACCAGAGCTACAGGTTATCATTGTCTACAATTGTAACCCCGTGAAAGGAGAGGGTACACAAGGTTCAGTCATTAGAGTATTAATAAATATTACCGGACAGTAGCTGTGACTTTCTAGATCTGTATTTTGGAGGTGCTCGGTCCAAACCAAGGCTGGGACTGGCATCGTTCATAGTTTTCTTTAATCCTTCCAGGAAATTGCATAGAAAATATTGTAATGTACCTCTCAATTCTTTCCAAGTTATTATTCACAAGTGATCATATTACTCGACCTTATAGAGTCTGAGACACTGAGAGCATAGTAAAATAAACCGAAATAAAACGAAATTTATTTGCACATGTGTATGGGTGAACACAAAGCACTGATACAATAGCCATAAGAATATATGAGTTTATTTTTCACGGTGCGATTTGTATAAATCTGTTATACAAAATTTTGCTGCTACATAATTTTATTTGCGATTCTGTATTTGTCTGAAACTTGATCTCTGAGATTAAGGGAGGAACACAGACTGAGGGTGTTTGAAAACACGGTGTTGGGGAGAATATTTGGACCGAAGAGAAATGAAGTGACAGGAGGGTGGCTGAAACTGCGTTATGAGGAGCTTCAAAACTTGTACTCTTCTCCAAGTTTAATTAGAATGATCAAGTCAAGGAAGATGAGATGGCCAGGGAGTGTATCGCGAATTGGGAGACGAGGAATGCGTATAGGATATTGGTGGGAAAGCTAGAAGAAAAGAGACTACTAGGAAAACAAAGAAATAGGTAGGTGGATAATATTAAAATGGATGTTAGAGAGATGGAATTGGGAGGTTTGGACTGAACTAATTTCACTCAGGATAGGGAATTCTCATAGTGGGGGGGGGTGGAGTCCAGCTGGGTCCACTCGGCACGTCGGCCACTGATTGGCCTATTGTACCTGCCCCAGGTGATTATGATGATGGAGAATTTGGTGGAATGAAAATTGGCAGGGGAAACAGAAGTATTCGGAGAAAACCTGCCCCAGCGCCACTCTGTACACCACAAATCTCACTTGACCAGACCCGGGCTCAAACCCGGTCCGCCGCGGTGGGAAGCCAGCGACTAACCGCTCGAGCTATGGCGCGGCCTTCAGGATAAGGAAGAGTGGAAGAATCATGTAAACATGGTAATAAATCCTCGAGTTTCATAAAATGCTGGGTAGTTTTTAAGCTGCACAATTTGAGACTTCTCAAGAAGGGCTCAGCTCCATGAAATTAGTTATTTATATTTTTATTCGTAAGAAGAAGTTGATAATCTGAAGAAGTAGCAATGTATAAACGCATTGAAATTATTTATTCGCCGTTAAAGGTTAATATTTTAAATAATCCTTGTATATACCTTGCAAAATATGTAAAATTTTTCATATTTCTAATCAAAGAATCTCCCATTAGTTCGTTCCTGTGATATATCATTTAACAAATACGAATATACGATGTACATGTTAAAGTCAAGTATCTTCCGAGTGACATCACTGAAAGCCTCATTCACGTGACAAGAATAAGTCAACAGCTGGATTGAACTTGAAAATTGCTGTCATAAGAACGTACTCTTAGGCAGGTTCAAGAAATGGCGAGTAGCCGCTTTGGCGACCAGGCGTGTTGACGTGCCATAAATCACACGCGAAACCTAGCCGTCAGGACGTTAGGAAATAATTGTATTTGTGCGTGCAAAAGAGAGATTCAGCAGTTTGGAAGAAAAACTATATGATACGTATTGGAATTAGACGTCACAGACATGAAGCGTTTAGATAATTTCGTGCTGATCGCTTACTAAATCAGCAGATATTTATGAAAAAACATACAATTGTTCTTAAAATGGGAACGGCGACCTGTATTTTGGAAGACAGCGCATTGCGTGAAGGAGGACAAATTGTTATAATCAACAGCACGCAGAGTTTTAAATTTATCACGAGTAAAATAAGGAAGTTTGATTTCTGCGCATTATACAGAACAGTGAAATTTCCAGCCGTGTCATATAGCTGTGATTCGTGGAAAAAACTGGACGAAATAAAACAGACGGGTAGACAGGAAGGTTGAGATCTCAAATATGAGTTGATTTCTATATATTTTTATGAATACGACCATTTGTTAGGCAAAGGTTTGGTAATAATCGCCGGAAAGCCGGAATAGCAAAGAACAGAAGCGGAAGTTCATTTGCTAGGCAACGGTTCCCCAAACACATTACCGTGAGAAACGGAAAAGGAAAACTAACTGCTCGTGGTGATCTCTACTCGGTTCTCCCGAAATAATGAAAAGGAGTGCATTCGTGAGTTCAAGGATTGACTGACTGACTGACTGATTGATTGATTGATTGATTGATTGACTGATTGATGGATCGACTGACTGACTGACTGACTGGCTAGCTGACTGAGTGAATGGCTGATCAATTCATTCACAAGCCAGTTCAATGTGTGAACAGTGATTTGTCATTAGTTACTGGTCGCAGTAGAAGGTATGACACTCACAGTCCAGTAAGGAATGGAACGAGTCGTAGACAGCAACTAATTGTTAGCTTTTGTAATTTATTGTAATTGTAAAGAAGTTCCAATAAATTCCATCATAAAATCCAGAACACATTATTATACGTGGCAATATTAAGTGATCCAAGGAAAAACGACACAAAGAAAAACTGACCCAGTGCTAAATACAGAGACAAGCGGAACAAATATTTCCTGGGTGTTATCGCAATGAGCGGTCAAAGATTATTACGAAAGTATCTGAGATATGCGATCTAAAGAAAACGTGTGTTCTTTTGTCAAAGTTATTAGAACGGGTCGGAATTTGCTTTGGATGGAATATAATTACAGAAGGTGTGGGAGAGATGAGAAATGCAAGCAAAGTTTTAGTGGGGAAAGATGAAACATGGAGGAGAGTCCAAAGAGCTGGGTGTAGACAGTCAAATAATATTACAATAGGTTTTAAATACGTGATCTGTAGCTGTAGTTGGATTCACTTGACTCAGGTTAGAGACAAATGCAGGTTTTCAATGAATTCAGTGATCAATATCCAGGTTCTATAAACAGCCCATCTCAGCGACTATCAGCTTCTCAAGAATTTCTAACTATACCTCAAAATTGTACCCATTTTGATCACATATTCAGCAACACATCTCAATATATTTATGATTATATATATGTATACACAGCTGAGGATGTTCAACCACGACCGAAACGTTCAATGTTTAATATAATAAAGTGATTGATTTATTTATATAATCAATTCAATGAATTATTATATATAGCAAACTCAACGTGTTGTGTGACGGCATAAATCTCTAAACTTATACATACAACAGAATACAAAGCATACAATACCGTTATATAATATTAATCAGTTACTTAAGAAAGAATAACCTGCCAAACACACCTTCTTTGTGGCTTTACATTGCCCTTACTGTTTACAAATATCATCTGTTTCAAGGGTATTCGGTTCAAACTTTTACAACGTTGTTGGCTATCATAATCGGAGTTTTCAATTCGTCAGTCCTCCAGCAGAACGTCCGCCTGATTGTCAGTCTATCGGGCAGCAAGCTCTATCGTTACATGATTATTTTTCCAGCCCATTCGTTGCTTTTCATTAGTGTTTCTCAATATTTGTGAGACCGCGGCCGGGTAAACTGTTTTCCTATAAGACGAGGGCCAGGTATAATTGGTGCTACAGCCCTGCGGTTGAGAAACACTGCTATACATATATCTGAGACAGAACTTGAAAGAGAAGGTTAAGTTTCAAAGTGTCTGTGTCTGTCCATAGGTGGCGTGGGTGCGAGTGGACACTCAGACTATTCTGTCAATCCACCACAACGTAATAACCCAGAATCCCCGGATCTCGCTGTCATATAACGACCACCGATCTTGGTACCTGCATATCAAGAACGTGCATGAGGCAGACCGGGGTTGGTACATGTGCCAGGTTAATACAGACCCAATGCGCAGTCGACAGGGCTACCTGCAAGTTGTCGGTAAGTAGCTCCCATATCCTGATGCCTGCAGTAGCACTTGCTGGTAGTGATAAATAATTTTAAAACTCTCTCTTAAGACCTCATTCTGTATTATGTTTAGAGGGACCATTAAAGAAATTCATCAATAATAAGAGCAGTAATATGTATTGAATTTAATCTTGGTGAACGTATTCATATATCCGATTTAATATGACGGAGTGAAGTTCTTAGTCAGAAGTTAATAGTCTTTCATACTGTCACGTGGTGGGTATGTCACGCGACAAATAACTTTACGTGGGTCTCGGATTTAGCGGATCTTTATTGGGCATTCACACTTACACCTTACAATTATTATTACTCGCAGCATCGCTTAATTTTTGGCCCAATACTCAATGCGACGTCTCAACTGTCTCTCGCGGCGGCTTGCTGACTTCTTGCTGTCTTCTTCTATATCGTATGGTGTTCCAACTGACTTGGCAAATTCCTTCAACGCTTCTTATAACTTCGGCCGCTGCTATGCAATTAACCTTCGTAATAACCGTGGAGACTCATCTCCGGGGAGATTCGGCGTTCTATACGCAACGGCTCACTGTTAGAATTGCAATACCGCTGCTGTTACTTCCTATGCAACGGTCTGTTGTAGCGTTTCCATGGAAGTAACCCTTTTGGATTCCAAAACATGTGACAATATAGTTTGAAAAATACTAGCTTTTTACAGATCCAGATTCCCAAGGGCCCGACACTGTAACCGATTCTGCGCCAAAATAATCCAGCTACATCCTCACATGTTCTCCCTTTAAGATCCATTTATTTGCTTCTCTAGTGGTCTCTTCCTCCAGTTCCCTGAGTAAAATTTGTATGCTTTTCTGATATCCGCTATGTGCATAAATATTGCTTATCACTACAGGCTAGAACGCCGGAGTTCGAGTCCCAGCAACTGCAAGAAATTGTCTCTTTTCTACAGCGTACAAAATTATTCTGGGACCCAACTAGCCTCCTAACAGAAGGGTATCGGGGGCTCTTTCCTAGACAGTAAAGCGGCAGGGGCGTGAAGCTCACCAATGACCATCTATTTTCCAGGTCAAGAATGATGGAGCTATACCTCCAGTACTCCATACATCTTCATGGCGCGTTGCTTAATTAATTAAGCGCAGGAACAAATTACCTTTCTTTACCACACCGGCCTTTTTCACTGCCTTTGATTTCATCACCCAAAAAATATTTGAGAAGAATAAAAATTGCAAAACTCTTCTTTAAGCAGTTTTCCTACTGTCCTATTACTTCCTCTTCCACAGCTTCGAATATTCTCCTCGGCGACCGGTTCTGATACGCTCTCCTTTCGTGCACTCCCTTCACAGACACCCAAGTTCGCATTCATATACAGTGACAGGCAATACTCCTCACGTGGGCTCTGCGGCACTCAGTGGTAGGACTAATGACGAGCGGTATATTAAATTTCTCGGCTTCAATTCCAAAGAAGCATTTTCAGAATCCGAGTCGAAAACTTCTAAGATAAGCAAATCTACTCAGCGGCGANGGCCTCAAAATATTATAGACATATTTGAGTGCAGTAACCCTTCAAGGCACGACGGTTGACTTTGTATACTACCTGTTTCAACGTTCAAGGTATTCTGAATTTTGTTTACAGAGTATATTTATAGGTTTCATATGATTTTAAGAATAGACAGTGGTAATTTCTCGAAACAACTTTAAACTTTGTATGTTTTCAAGGAGATTCAACTTGTTGTGTGTAAGAGAATAATTTAAATTTTAAGTACGAGTATTGATATTTATTTCGGCTTCGAAGTTTCAAACAACAGGTGCCTCTCTTGTCTTTCAATTTTAATCTGAAATTATTCAGACTCTGTGACTTCTTCCTTGTTGGTCAACATAAGCTTCAGGTGGTAGACCTTCGCAGGACTACTGAAGTCAAACCAGCAACTTCCCGAATTCCAGTTTCTAGAACAATATGTGAGGAAAATCCCTATGGTCCAGTGGGCAATCGGAAACTTAATCTATACCAAGAGAGAAATGGGAGAGATACTGGAATATTTTCCAGGATGCTAAGGATGTTTCGTGGCCCGAGAAGCAGACAGTTCTCCACTTGCTTGACTGTGCTCGTCTCTGGAAGGGAAGTGAGCATCTACGTGTATAATTGTAATTCACAGTAAATTATACGTAACGGTAATCAAGCGTTAATATTAAAGAGCCCTAAAAGCATACGATACAAAATGATTTAACATCAAACGGTTCGTAAATTAAGGAGACATTCTATATTACTTCAATAGAGAGGCGGATAGAAGTGACCAGATGAGGAGGAAGAAGACGTAAGAAGATGCTGGATGACCTTGGGGACAGAAGAGGATATTTTCATTTGAAGGAGAAAGCTCTAGACTAGATCGCATCAAGTGGAGAAACTGTTTGGAAGAGACTGTGGACCAGTTGTCTTGACAGATTACAGATGAATGAATGAAATTACACGTTTTCGATTTCGTGGTCTTTATTATAACATTTAAGAACGAAATGCTTGGTCCTTAAACTCTTCTATCTTTATTCTTTGAAAATATTGTTAAACCAAACACGCATATCTCTAGGAATTTTCGAAAGGTGAGCCAATGTTATATTTTAGCGCCCTGTTGCACTGATTTAAGTCCATGATTTATTTAATCCGTCTTGCAGTGCATACACTCATTTATTTCCTTCTCTCCCTCGCACTACATGTTTCGGCATAATAATGCCATCTTCAGGTGCTTACTTATCCACGTCAAACCAGTTCATTCATATACATTGTCAAACGTTAAAAATATTAAAATTGTTCAGGATACCACATCGCTACGTCGCCCCTCACTACCAATGAGCCAATGTTTGAAGAACTGCCTCTCATTGCACATGCACGCAACCTGAAACAAAAAAGTCTTCCTTTTTTTCCAATAAATACACACATATGCCCGTGTCACAATCAAATGCCGAAATCTGACATTATTTACACTGAATGGCCATTACCAATAACGGCCATAAAACTCGAGCGACATAACGAATATTTGAGTATTGGTAACAATGTCCAACCCCCTGTGTCAGTGTCTAGGTGAATTATATTTCGGCGAAATTAGCACACCACTCTTGACTACGCCCAAAAGCACATGGTCAATGGCAAATTGCTGAAGCAGAATTTATTGAACGGTAATTATCAAACTAACGGGATAATAAATCCACGTTGGGTGCGTTCGTATAACCACGGCATCCTTTAACAACTACAGCGATGTGAATGAATATATTTAAATATTTATAAATTATAATAATTCGTTTATTTATAAGTGTGGTTTAAAAACTTTGTTAAAATTTAGAACCAGTTTGGTTCGTGTCCTTATACCGCCTCTCTTTAAGGGAAGATGAGGGCCTGCCACGTCGTGGTTCCGTTGTTTGATGAATAAGACTCTTTAGTGTCGCCCTGTTGTTTGGGACCCGCTGTGTTGTTATACTGTAGTTGTAGTACTACAGTAGTACTAATGTAGTTATTTTTTATTGCTAGTGGGGTGGGACTAAGTCCCTTGTAATGTGGCCACTTCTGGCCTATTGTACCAGCCCCAGATGTTAGGTGAGGGTGATTGTGGAGCAATTGGTGGAATGAAGATTGGCAGGGGAAACCGACGTACTCGGAGAAAACCTGCCTTAGCGCCACTATGTTCACCACAAATCCCACTTGACCAGACCCTGGGATCGAACCCGGGCCGCCGCGGTGGGAAGCCAGCGACTAACCGCTTGAGCTATGGCGCGGCCATCCTACTGTAGTTAGGCAAATCACAGATTCTTACAATGTTCTCCCAGATCGAGTTTAACTGAGGCAGAATAGCTTCGTGTAGCGGTATAATTGCAAAAAAATAAAAACGGCACAGAACAAAGAAACCTTGCTGCGTATCAGAATAATTTTGTCGCCAAGATATCTCTTAATGCCACTCTCGCAAAATTACAAGCCTGAACCACAAACTAATTCTGTCACATACAGTAATTCTGCTGTCACTGGTATTTAGGCCAGCTTTCATTTTAAAAGTGTAACGTGAGGAGTACTGAGAAAAATATTGTAATTTATGTTTATGCAATATAGAATATTTATTACTTAAAAACAATGCCAATAAAGCACTTGTAAATTTAAAACAAGACGTCATGAATATCATTATTTCATAAGCTATGTAATCATCAGCAAAATTTCTAAATTGCTCTCACATTATTTTCCACTATGTTCTTGTAATATTTAGTTAACTGTACTGTATAGAACTGTAAAAGTAAAAGTAAAGCTATCCCTGTAACAGACCGTGGAGGCCCATAGGGTTGTGAGATGTTGAGGCTCCCACATCTTCTAGACAATTGGCTCATAGATTGCGGTAAGTTTGTCAGACCAACACACCGGCCGCCCTTTACCACCAAGAATATTCCTGATACTCATTTCTGTTAGAGGCTGAGTCGACCCCAGGGCCATAGTGCGGCTGGAAGGATTAAGTCAATTGAAAAATCCAATGGCCTCATCGGGATACGAGCCCATAACCTTCCGGCTTGTAGCATAGTGTATAGGACTGTCGTATCCAAAAGTTTCCGAGTTAGACATACGGATCATAAGGATATAGAATATACTCCTCGCAAATTTTGTGCACTTTCTGCTTCATCCTGTCAGTTGCACGACTACTGTCAAGTGCTAAAATTCATTGCAATGGCGCAGCCATTTCAATCATGCTCAAGAAATCATTTACCGATGTGTTAATTATATGACGCGGTATGCCTCTTACGAAGTTGTCTGTTACTCAGCTGGTCAGAAATACCCACTCCTTTTATGAAACCAAACTGTTCGGTACCGAATATCTACTTCCCAATTTACTATTCTTGTAAGCGTTGTATTCTACTAAGGAGAACGGTGTTCCAGGTTGAAACGCCGGGCGATTCGCAGAGAAGGGAAAACCAAGCAAGAAACCAAGAGAAGCAGGAGCAAGCTGAGCTGAACTTTCCGAATACTTTCGCTGGTTAAGCATTTA